CACGCGGCGCGTTGGCAAACAAACCGGGACACAAACTGCGCAAGCAACCGCTACGCCCTATAACCATTACGCCACTCCCGCCCTCCCCCGCCGCGCCCTCTCTCTTTTTATACGCCGCGGCTGCTCATCATACGTGCGCCCGCGCCGTGCACCGCGCTCTCGCGCACCCGCGCAGCGCCTTTACGCGCCGCCGCCCCAGCTGGGGGGTGGTGGCGGGCGGCGGTGGCGGGCGGCGCAGGAGCGCTTCGCACAGGCGCTGTTCGCGATGGACAGCTTTTGACAGGAAAAGAAAGCGGATTGCGGGAGAGAGGAGGATCGCAGCGTCCTCCCTTAGACGCCGCCATGGGATCGTCAATCGTCTTTGATATCATGTCGAAAAAGTCGTCACCCATGCCGCTCGTACCGCAACGAAGGACCTCACGAATGATAAGTAGCTTCTTAGATGTCGTGTTAATAAGCCGCTTCTCGTTGTAGACGAAGTCAATGAAATTATCCGTCTCCAACTGGTCCGATTTTGACCAGTTTTGATGTGCTGCAGTGTATTTGGGCCGCAGCTTCTGAAACTCTGTACGCAAAGAGCTACCGTTTTGCATTCGAGAAGGGGGTAGCGAAGGATCTATGTACTCGAGAAATCCGTGGCCCTCAAACCCCTGCTTCGGGATAAATTCACTGTTGTTATTAAACTTTCACGCAATTACCTCCGTCCACGCAGAGTATCTCGTCATACCAGCGTCTATCTCAGCAGCTGTCAGACTTCTTCTAGTACGGCGAAGAGATTCCCTTCCTGTTGAGTCGCGAAGCAACAAGAACAGGTGTGCTGTCTCGTTTAATGTTAAAACGCGCACGGAGCAGTCCCCATCTTTTTTGCAATTGGTGCTCGGTATCGATTGATTCCCGAACGGTCCTGAAGCGCCTTGATTTTGAAGCTGACCGAACGATGGGGTTTCCGTATCAAGCCAATTTTTGGCTGTGCGTCTATCGAAGAGGGCAAACCCAGCACAATGACAGGAGCTTTGCAAGAAAGAAGTGTAGGCCTCATTGGTTCCACCGTTGGAGCTCTTTTGTACGTGAACGGTTAACCTCGAAACTAAATCTTCTTTGGCCCCTGACCTGCGGAGACCCCACTGACGACAAATCTTTTTTAGAGTTTCCCCCTTCATGTTGTTGAAATAGTTGTACAAAAGTAGCAAGCTGTCATCCATTCGTTTGTGCATGGCATCGGTGCCCATATTATCTCCCCCGCAATTCCCAATGATGGCGCTAGCACCTTCTCTTCCTTGTTCCAACAAGGGCTGCGTACCGTTGGAAGACAATACCCTCCCTTGCGATACAGTTCCAATATCCATCATCCACATATTTCTTCGCAAGGATTTGGTAGGGGTTTGCTCAGGCGCAGGAGTTCCAGACTCAGTAGTGCTCATTGTGCAGTGTTCTGCAAGTGATCGAAAGAATTTTGAAAGGATATATCGAGATTCTAGCACTTCTCGCGTCTCATGAATATGGCTAGGAGCCGCGAGTAACTTCTGATGTGTACGCCGAGGCGTCGGGACTGATACCGCGCTGCTGATTGTCCTTATAATCGTTTCGATGTACCATTCAACTGATTTAACAGATGTCTCTCGAGAACCTGAATGTTTGGCGAAGATCGTTCTTCTGGGCGGAGGTGGTATTCTGCCTAGAACTGATACAGTATAGTATTAGCAAAAGAGTGTGAAAGTGCCCTGGAAATGCAGAGTAGAGAGTGCACGTCGCTGGAAGAACGCGAAGAAACGGACGGGAGAAAAGCGGTCAAGATACCACGTCGAAGCCGCAATGTCGCGCTAAACTCGCAAAGAACTGAGAGGAGACCGAAAAAGCAAAGGGCGACGCTATGAAATTGAGAAATGTCGCTTGGTAGATAGATAACCGTAGAGCGTGGAGCGGCTTGGTAGAAATTGGAGCAAGGGAGAAGGTACAGGAGGGGATGGGTACAAGTGGGACAAGTCGGGTATAACCCGGGACATGTATTTTTTAATTCAATTAAATATTTCGTTTGAAAACAGCTCTCCCTGACAGACTTTCCGATCAACGGTTCTCCGTTGTAGCTGAACGGCTCCATGAAAGTAAAAGCTAAATATATACAACGCTGGATGACAGTCTCTTTACAGTTCCCGCGAAGAACTGAGAACGATAATGCAAAAGTACAAGTGATACGGGCCACATAAAATGGATATCAAAGCATAGTTCGCGGCAAAGCGAAACAGGACCGGAAAGAATCCAAAGAACGAAAGTCCATTTCGTGGGAAACAGTAAATGTAAGAATATAATATGTATAATAGTGGAGCATTCCGAAGCATAACGGCTTTTTCCCGTGATATTGGTACGTCATTGCTTCGCCATGACAAAGGCACAGCGGTATCAGAAGCGTCAAGAAGCTCGGCTCCGCGCTGCATTGCATTCCCACAAACAAGGCCTGCCAGTCCGCAAAGCCGCCTGCATTGCGCAAGTCAGCAAGTCCGCTTTTTATCGGCGTGTGCACGGCATGATTGGACAGGAACACCCCGCCACCCCATCAGCGAAACGCGGCTAGAATCGCGCGCTGTCGGACGAAGAAGAAGCTACCATCTGCCAACTGCTTGTTCGTGAAGCAGACCGCGGGCGTCCCCTCAGTCGGCGGGACCTCAATGACGCTGTTTACATGTTTGCATCTGCGTTGAGCCTTGAGCGACAGGCAAAACTTCCGTTCGAGAACCTCACCCCGGGAAGGGATTTTCTACAGAACTTCCTGAAACGGAACGCCG